AGAATGTTGCATTTGGTAACATTAAATGGGAGGAGCCAGTGGCCTGATCATTGATCGAGCCGGTCTAAGTTTGCCTGTAAATTTGCTTCATCGTCCTCGTTGCGAATGACGGTCCAAAGCCTTATATCGTCAGCAAACATAGCAATGTCGCAGTCCAACCCATGGATGCAGTCATAAATAGAGATGAGGAAGAGGATAGGGCCAAGAACGGAGCCCTGAGGTACTCTGCTCGTAAACGTTACCTCTGCCGATTGCTGGCCACCAAGACGAACAGTCTGGGACCGACCGACCAAAAAGTTTTCAATCCACTTCAAAAGCTTGCCTCTTACCCTTATGCGGCTGAGCTTGTATAGGAGACGTTGGTGTGGCACGCTGTCAAAGGCCTTCTTGAAGTCTATGTAGGCCACATGCACAACGTTTCCTTCATCAATCGCTCGGGTCCACTGTTCAAGACAGTAGAGTAGATTGGTCAAGCAGGACCTCCCTCTGCGGAAACCATGCTGTGCATCGCACAGAAGATGATTTTGTTCTAAAAACCGCATCAGTTCTCGTTTGATAATTCGATCCATAACTTTGCAGCATATGGAGGTGAGGCTTACCGGTCGGTAGTTGTTTGCGGAAACGCGACTGCCACTTTTACATATCGGTGAAATCCATACAGTCTTCCACTCAGGAGGCAGTCTGCCTGCATCAAGAGGGACATGGAAGAGGAGGCTCAGAGGTTCTGCCAATTCTGTGGCTAATTCATTCAACAACTTTGCCGGTATTTCGTCAGGACCGGGCGATGTCCCATCTTTTAGCTTCAGTAATTCCTGGTGAACAATAGGTTTTGTGAGAACCACTGAGTCAATTGTCGGGACATCGTCCACATAATAGTGATCAGTGGGTACAGCGATTTCTCTCTTAAAACCGACTGAAAGAACGTGGACAGATGCTCAACCTTTTCGTCGTTCTTGTAAAGTTCAACGCCATCATCAGTTTTTAGCATAGGGATGGGATCCCTGTTGCGAGTACTTTGTCTTCTGTAGTGGAAGAAAAGCTTTGGGTTTTCTCCTGTACAGTTTAAAAGGTTACCCTGGAAGTCTTGGCGGGCTATGTAAACAAGGCACTTTACTCTATTCCGCTGGGCCTTGTACATATTCCTTGATTCAGTTGTCTTGTCCCTAAGATATGCTTTCCACAGCTTTTGCTTACGGTTTACTTCAACTTTCATTGAACCCTTTAGCCATCGGGGCCTGCTGGTGATTTTCCTTTTCGACATAGGACGGTATCTGGTGATAAGTTCATTCAGTATGGCCTTAAGTTCTAGCCAGTCCTTAAGAACACACCCCGTGAATGCTGCTTTGCAGTCTCTACGACGCATGTCGAGACGCATTTGGTTGAAGTCATCACGCCATATGTTGCGTCTGATCACGATGCTTTCATCAGGTACAGAGAAGACAGAATACTCCCACTTTTCGTCAGCCTTAAGAACAACAACAGCTAATGCGTGCCTGAACATGCATGATCTCGGCGACACCTCATTC